GCACATTTTTTATGGGCATATTGAAGGAGGTATAAGGAAGTAACAAGTGCAACTCCTGTTGGGTGAAGAGAGCAGAGAAAATAGTGGTGATACAATGATGATTACACCAGGTATAACTCTCTTTCTTATTCTGAGCTTACATATAAAGCAAAGAAGATAGATGACTTAAAAAGTCATCTTTTCTGTGGTTTGCCATGTGTGTCCTTTTTGATCAAGATAATATCAGAATCAGGCACATTAACTAAAAAGAAATTCTGTTTTCAGAGGCCTATGGGGTTTTTTTGAGAATATTTCCTTTCCAGTTGAAGACCAAAGCTGTTATTTTAATCTAAAACCCAGGACTGTTAAGGGGGGAACATTTCCTACTTCTTCACTAGAAAATCTCAAGAAAAAATTCCAGAGTGCAAGTCCAAAGAAAGGTGGATAAACTTTTTGATGTTTTTAAAACTAGGGAGAGTGAAGTAAGACACATAATTTAGCAAAACTTTGGACTTTGTTGCTGCTTAACTTAAAAGACCACTATTTCTGTGGCAAACACAAAAGGTAGTTCTGCCCTTTTCTTAACACAAGAATTGATTTACCTTAGGATTCAGGTGGCTTCTCTTGCAAAATTTCTGTCAGATACTGTACTGCTGTGAGCTCTCTAGTGTCTCAGAACTTCATCATGACAACAAATTTATCACCAAAAATGCACTTGGGCAATAAGATTTAGTATTGTTCCTGTTTTACACATATCACAGATTATGTGATCTAGCCCTTTCAAGTGCTAATCATTCATATCAGTTCACTTATGCTGCACTTTACAACTACTATGCAACCTGCTATTAATATGGGCATCCTCCTCCCCTCAGCACATCTTCAAACTCCCTAGAAAACATGGTCAAGTTCATGACATTTGATCCTATCTAAAGCCATTGTGGAAAATAGATTATCCCCTCCTGCTGTCTTTTCCATATTTGAAGGCTATTATCACTTAGTCCTTTGGTGTTCTCATTTCTACACTGAATGCTGTTGACACTTTCAATTTCTGCACTAAAGTCATATTTCTAGATATTTTTGTGTTCGAGTCTTTTCATTTTCCTTCTTCTTTGAATTTTGCTCTGCAGTGGTTTGAAAAGGTGAGGAATGAGGAGGAAGAAGGAAATTCCCTGGATTTCCCCAATACAGACAAGATATTTAATGATTTAATCTGGAGTTTTACTGCAGCCAAGCAAAATTTTTGTTCCTTTTCATAGAGCCACTGTTTGCCTTTTTCATTAGAGTGTGATACTGTTGATTCGTGTCTATTTATGTGCTTTTGTAGGTCCAGACTCTATTCTTCTAAACTGTTCCCTGGACTACAGCACTCCACCTTGAACTGGTACAGTGGATTGTCCTTGGCAAGTCCTGTATTTGGGCTAAGTTCATTGTATCTGACTTTGGTTTGTTTGGTTGATTTTTGCCTTTTTTTTCCCCTCAGGACATACTCTTTAATTTATCACGATAATTTTGCATTCTCAGACTGTTCTGAAATGCAGTGGAAGTCCCTTCTGGCTGTTTACATGGCCAGTTGCCTCTGGGCTTTATGAGATCTGGACAAGAAGAGAAAAATTTTTCTCAACGATATGAATAAATTAAGGACACTCAGAATTTTTCCCTAACATCAATGCCAACTGCACAGACTCCATAATACTAAACTCTAGCACATAGTACCTATACCCAACCTGTATGTGTATTGCACCTAACTCATCTGGGGATCATCTAAGAGGGTAATCTTTATCCCACTGAGATTTGTGCCAGAACAGTTCCATTGTCTGGGTAGTAAATCCCACTGCTTGGGAACCTTTTCTGGTTTTCTGTTTAATTTACTAGGATTGATTTTACCACAGTCAGGAAAATGTTAAGGTGGTATCCAGTTATCTGAAAACTTATGGCAGAGTCTCTGCAGTGTGTGGGTGTTTAAGCACTGACACTTGTCTTTGAAGAGCTCATCAAGACAAAGAGAGTTCCACTTTGGCCTTATAGAGGGGATGTCTACCTGCCTTCTGATGTACAACAGTAAATTACCTTTTAGGTTTAATCTTTACCAAAAGCTTTCCTGAGTGAGTGATTTAAAAATAGGCAAAAATCTAACATAAAGTTACAAGGAGAAGGACTGCTTCAGTTAAATGGCTCACTGATTCAAATTACAGCACACATGCAGAGTATCAATGCACAGAAAATGTTTCTGTTGTTCAGAAGAGTCTATACCAAGAAAGGGCTGAACTCCCAGGTCCAATGAGAAAGAGTGGTTTATGCTATGGTGTATCTATCTGAATATGTTGTTCCTACGAGATGTACCACTTATTTCTGAAGTATTATGTTAGCATTTGTCAGTTGAACAATGTTTCTTCTTTCCCTTGTGAACAATCATTTGTCAAAGCTCTAAATACAGTACAAGATTGGGCATGAACCTCCAACCCTGTGTTTGGCATCAACAGGGCAGTTCCGTAATCTCTGATACTGCTGTTTGTTGGTTCATTAGAGACAGAGAACTGATGTGTTTATCCAGGTTCTTGTGCTGGAGCCTCCCCTGGAATATTTCACCTTGTGCAAATACTTATAGGCTAAACAAGACAGCATTTGATAAACATGTATTTGTAGGCTATGCAAGTGGCTTTATCATCCACCCAACACAATGATGACCAGGGCCAAATTAGATTCTGAAAATAGCACCCATTAACCAGGTTACCTTGAAAGTGTATTCAAGATTTTGGAAAGCACAATGAACCATGCGAGGACTCGAGAAGGCCCTGTAATTTCCCTCAGCCTTACCTAGATCCTTTCATGAGTATGCACTGCAGTGTACGTTACAGATAATTTGACTACGTTGAGCATGGAACACAAACACCAGTCAACTCCATCACACATCCAGGAGTCTATACGGAGCTTCATGGCTGTTGGTGCTTTGCTTAGCTCATGGAGAACAGAATCCTTGAAAGCTCAGCCTCTGAAAAATGTAGAGGTGATGGTGAATAGTATCCAATGCTCTCAACCAAAACCACATGCAAGCTCTCTGAGGCTGACAGGGAAGGCTGACAAATGACACCTGTACTACATGTTGTAGTTGGTGTGTTTGTGAACTCCTCACTTCCAGTCTTTACAGAAGGACTGTTCAGTGTTTTCTGCATAGATGATATTTTATTCCTCTTCCAAACACTCCTTCTTTCCATAGACCTAGCCACTTAAGAGCTCGTATGCTGAGGGACCATCTCTCTGAAGGCGGGCTAGCTAGGCCTCCAGGCTATGGGATACCTGACTGTTAATCTCTCCTCTTGTTCTGGATTCAACTCCAACTGTTTTTTTTTTCTTTAAATTAATGTCTTTACAACTGTGATAGAGTAATTCTTTTTGATTTTGGCTCAATTCAAATTTCTTTTCTAGACAGAAAATGTACTAAGTACAACTGTGAAAACTGAAGAAGTTCAATCTGTCACAGTAAGGGGGAAAATAAAAGTCTACATCAGGATGTTGCTGCATGTCTATCAGGGTAGTGGGAAAATGTAGACCTACCTCTCTACACCATGTATAAGATATCTAGCTACAGCCTATTGTCCAGAATGGGACTCTCAGCCACTACCTTACCCATTACATGAGAAGGAGTTTCCTCGATTACCTAGTTTTGGGCTGTAGGTCAGGACAGAGAAGCTTACAGAGTGGCAAAAGAAGACAAAACAGTGTAATGCAGTATAAGGACACACACACAACTCATGGGATGGGTGATAGGACAATAATGTTTTCAGGGTGTGTCCAAGCCTTCTAGGATGCCTGTACTTTGCTCCATATGGGCCAGTTTTCAAGAACCGGGCAGCTTGCTTGGAGCTTGTCAGCAGCCTGTTCAGCTCTGTGTGGTCAAATCATTCACTTCTAAGCATTTCCTACTTGTTTGCTTGGGTGATGGATTGTTTTGCTTTCACCGTGTGTTACTCTGAAATAACTGTTGTTACCCAGGGAGTTCTTGTAAAGATCACATGAAATGTACTAGTGCTATATACTCAAAATATACCTCACACGTATACATACAGACTAAGAACATATTCCGAAGTGGAAAAATCCCTGACTGGGGTCAAGAGGTGAACATAGCTTGTACCTAAACACAAGTGAATCCATGAATTTTGCTTATTACTGCTTAATAAACTGATTTTCACCTGAGTCTGTTTTCGAGACTTGTAAAGAGAGGTAGGTGTTCACTGTGTAGCGGAGTGAGCTATGGTTTTCTCATAGGCTTGTTCTCTATGGAAACACTCTGGAGAACATCAATATCTACAAGTCAATTCATGCCAGCTAACAGAAGGGCCAGATTCCCTGTCTCATCTTCTCTTGTTCAGCCATGAATTATATCCCCTGCATTATTTGCTGTTTAGGGAGTCAAAAAGTGTGCCAATAAATTAATTTCTTACTCTCTCAGAATCCTACTACTACCATTTTTGATTGTAGCTTCTATTTTTTTGTTTCCATTTGGGGACATGCACTCAAGTTTTGGTTTCTTTCCCAAGATAAAACTATGTACTTTGCCCACCTCTGCTATTTACCTGCGAAGTAATCAAGACACAGGAATGTGCTGGACCACTCACATTATAAAAAAATGAGTCAAGCTCTAAAGGAAAAAGCAAATATTAAAATAAAATAAAATTTGTAGTTGAGTATTTTTTTTCTTTCATGTTGTTGCTAACAGATTAATAACTTTGCAGAAACTGCTCTGGAATCTATTTTCAAATTAAATATTTTGATTCTCCCAAAACAGCATTGCTCCAGGAGGTTATATATAAAGCAGGAAATATGCTACTAACACAATAAAATACAAGTTTGCCACATTTTTTATTCATTCCAGTAAAAAAAAGTAGACTTCACTGAAACTAGGGCAGAGAGTGACAAACTGACTTGACTGCATAGTGCTTCTCATGTTCTTCCATTCTTCAGGGTCCTGTTGTGGTTTTTTGTGCCTTCCACGAAGAAGGAATATCCAGCGCATTTTATGTGTTAGATGCAAGAATTTTCTCCCACTGTCTTGTCTGAAAGGTAAGAAATCCATATTAGTTTCTTTTGCCATTTCCTTCCTTTTCCCTTTCTTCCACTGCTCACAGCTGCCTGCTCATTATCCCACCTTCATTAGAAGTAGCGTGAACTTTTCACTTTGTGAAAAAGAAGAAAATGCTCACAGTAAGAAAGCTCTCTTCTATTCTGGGCCAAACTAAACTTCCTGTAAGATTCCTAAGCTGTGTGCTAAGTTCATTGTGCTTCTAAATCTGTGTTAGTAGTGACTTTATTGCGGAATCAACCACGTGGTCATTTGAACTCATTAGAAGTTTCACTTGTTTCCCAGGTGAAATTTCATTTGTTTACTGTTATTTTCAGAGTGAACTGAAAAAACCATCCAAACAGACAAACCATACATTCTTAGTGAGAATTGTAAATGATATCTGAGGCATGAAAAGTTTACTTTAGTTTGGAACACTGATTCTGATCCACTAATTGGATGCAGCTCATTTTTCTGTTATAACCCCCAGAGCTACTTCAATGTACAGTTAGGAGGAAAGAAACCTCAACACTGTAGCTGTACCATAGACAGCATAACAAGAAAATGCAAATGTACAGGAACATTTTATGTTGTCCTTTGTACCAGTAAATGACTATAAAAACACATAGAACAGGAACAAGGAACTAATTAATTTTAAGTTAACATATAATGAGATTTTTTACATATGTATTTTAGTTAGATATTGTTTGAATGAAAGAAAACAAAGAAAAACTCTATAAATTGCTCTCAACTCTAATTCTCATCATGTGCATACAGATACTGTGACTGTGAAGTTTATTTGCAAACTTGTGTTGATGCTTGCAAATTATCTCAAAATACAGAAGTACTTTCAAATGAAATGTGTTAAATCAATGGCTCAGCACAAAGAGGTTTGTTGTTTCTTTGGTTGTTTTGTTTTCCAGTTGGTACTGCCTAAAACTGTGCTGATACAGTTTATAGGGTGTAAATTTACAGATAAGTGTATGAGAGAGCACTACAGGCAAGTAGATAGGCAAAGAGTGTCCCTCTGGGCTTTTGAACAAATTTCTTCCACATATTTCTCCAGAGAGAGTGAGGAAGAGGGATTCTACCATTCAGAGATGTAAAAAAACTGGGGTTGTTTCTGTAGTAGTGGGTGGGATATGTTCATGTTTGTAATGATGCTGTTGAGATACCTTGCAACCTGAGTTGTTTGTTTTTAATTACCATACTTAAAATAGTTGTCAGATTTGTTCTTAATTCCTAAATCTTTGCCAGCTCCAAAAGACAAGCATTACTGAATTTGATGTTTGTTTCCAGTTCTTTCCCCTTTCCAGGTCATATAGAATATGTTCAGTATCACAGGTCTAGCAGGAACATTCTGGCTGGGCATTTGTATCTTCTATTACATAGCCTAAGATTTTTTTGGACTTCCCTGTGAACTGATTCAAATTTTGACATTTTGGAGTAGGGTTGAAATATTCCATATATTCCCTGTGAAATTGTGTTTGGTATTTTTGCTGGCTGCAGGAGTTGAGTGAGGTGGCTTGTCAGTGACTTTTCCTGACTCAGCAGGGTTATCTGCAATTATGGTGTGTAAACTTGATGACTCTGGTGGCACTTTCAGTTATATGTGCCAGAGCACAGACGTAAGCATGAGAATTGTCAGTCACAGGGCCCCCATCATATGGACAAAGGCATGGGCTGAAGTGGTGCAGTGCTTTGGATGTTCAGGCCTTCAGTCTCTCACCACCAAGATAAAGCATTTTGCATCTAGGAGGCTGGACAAGGATGTCTTGTTGGTCACAGGCTGCAATGGGTCTGTGATGTCTGGGATATATCCTGCCGGGACATCACTGCCAATAACAAACTGGAGCATCCCCTAACCTCCATTGCCCTTCCTTCTTCCATATAAAAAAAAAAAGGCATTGAATTTAGCCCCAGAAAGTGTCAGCTAAAGAGAAATTATTTGACATTTTTAAAAACTTTTGTTTCTTTATAAGCAATTTGTAGTGGAAAAACTTTTTTCAACCCTGTGCTAATAAACTCACAAAATTTTGGAGCCAGACAAATACGTATGTGCCTAGACTTCCACTGTATTTTCCCCTTTATACTCACTTCACTTCTAGACAGATGCTGTTCAAACAGGGTATGAATGTGCATGCATATATAGTGCTGTGGCACAGTGGTATTCCCAGGGTAATCAGTACGTTCTGACCATAACTTCCACCATTTGCCCTCAGCAGCAGCATGAAGCCTGCAATCTCAGAGGGGTTTGTCTGGACTGGGAAGGAAAAGTAAAAGTAGTCTGTTAGGAGTGGCAGTCAGAGAGAAGGGCCAGCTGGCCACTATGTTTTTAGATAAATCAAATTTCTGCTCTGTGCTTCGGAACAGTTATTAATCCTCTCTCGGGCTTGAATTTTTTGCCTTTTGAAAGAACTGGGAAAAACATTATCCTTGACAGCAGGAATAGTTTACAGATTTGTCAGAATGTGTTATTTCATTCTTCTCCAAAGCAGATTGACAGCCCTGAAGAAAGTAGATATATGAACTAGGAGAATCATATTCAAGCAGCCACAAATTATCTTATGCCAGGTATCTGGTTTCAGGCTGGCTCTGTGGTGGACTGAGTATAGTTGAAAACATTCCTTTGAAAGGGTGGGCAATGGGAGTGGACAACCTTCTTCTTTCTCCTCATCAGAGAAGGTGGTGGGTCTGTCAGCATATTTAGAATTAATAGCCTCTGAAAGCTGCTGCAGACAAGTGTGCAAGGAAAAAAAAATATCACTAGTATGTTTTGTAGAGATTTGTCGCTACTTCAAACCAGATAGACAAAACAGGCTTTTTATGCTCTGGTAATTCTAAAATTTTGATCACTGGAAAATATAAAATAGTTTGGCTGCTTTCCCTTTTTCTGTAGAGTCCCTTTTATTTACTTTATTAACATGCTTCACTGACACTTAGCATGACCCATCTCGAGGGCTGGTGGCTCAGCTCAACACTAAAGGTGTGCGTGTAAGTCACCATTCTAAGGCAGTGAGCTGAATGCTCCACAGAGTTTTTTTTAAACTATGATACCTCTGTGGTTTTAGTATGTGATATATTTTCTTCTTATTGCTGTTTCTAGAATGAGGGGCAGAGTTGAGCATACATGCTAACTTGATATATTCACCTTACTGCAGGATTTTGATCAGAGGACACAACAAACCTGCTATTGATCTCTTAGTATCTAGTTAGATGTGTTAATCTGTTGTGACACTACTTCATGACTAATTGATTATCTCCTAGTTTATAATTTTGAATAAACTAGTGAGTAAAAATCTGTCCTGTGCAAAGATAATATTCTTTGCTCTCTAGTGTCCTAATCTGCAGTTCTGATAAATGAACTTCATTTTGCAAGCCAAGTCACCCCATTTATGTAAACTGGTCCGTTAAAATGTATAAAATTTCTTAAAAATACATTTTGAAAGATAATTTGCCTTTTCTGAGTGTCTACTACATGCATTAAGCCAAAAGTGCCTGCGTCCCTCAGACAGTGTGGTAGCATAGGCTGCACATTCCCTTGCATGTTCCATCCAGCACATCTCTCCCTCCAGCTGGCTGTCTGGTGGCTGAGTGAAAGGAGTGACATACCTGATAAGAGTAGGCTGAACAATATAAACCTCCTCAAGTAAGATAATTTAAGAACATTATTTACATTACCAATGTAACTGAACTAAGATCTCTACTTTGAACATCTGAAACTGAGTCTTAAAATCTATGTTTGGATTCAGATTTGAGTGGTTCATTGTTAGTCATGAGATATAAAGTTAACTCCTTACTTTTGCCCATGGCTTGTGTCCATCTGTGCTCCTGCAAGTTACACCCATTTGAATGGAATACTTTCTGAAGACATTTCTAATCTATGTGGTGTTATTCATCAGTTAAAAATGGCTCCAGGGTGTTTTCTCTGAATGCTTTAAGTGCTGGTTTCCACATGTCTTCGGATCATTCTTAGGATTAGGGCAAACATGTTGTATTCAGAAATTCCTGGTATCTATGCATCCAATATTTTAATAGTTGAAAGCAGTGATTTTCCTTCATGGGAGAAGAAATGTGGAGTTTGTCCCCTGGAATCTACAGGGGAGGATATGCAAAATAATGAGCTAATTTCTTCCCAACATTGAATCAAAATACCTTTATAGTCATCATCTTGAGTCAACAACAAACACATGAATCATCGTTTCCATCTTCAAAAGCATTTAAAATTCAAGTGTTTTCATTAACTCTTATCAGGTTCATATTTGGCTACATCTGTCAGTGTAGCAACCTGCATCTCAGTTTCAGCAATATAAGTTTAGAACTAAATATTAGGGGAAGTTTACATTTGAGCATTTACAATTATTAAAAAAAAAAAAAAAGCCAAGCAACAAAAAATGTGGAATGGCTTTATTATGCATTACTCCCTGAAGATAAATATTGCTCAAGTTCTTTGCCAATTCCTTTGACAAGTTAAGTTATTTCAAACAATAAAAAATGCATGCTGGTAGCTTTCCACTTTATTTGTGTTGAATGACCATTTATTAAATATTTTTCCCAATAGTTTCTTTCCAAGAATAGTTAAAATATTTTTAACTGTATAGGAAATAGTTAACTGACAGCAGGTTGACAGAATCTACTTCTCTGAGAAAGCTATGACTATACTCTTTCCAAGAAATGGGACACTTCAGTCAATGAGGTGACTTGTTGCGCCTTTGAAGCGGTCAGTTCATTGAGAAAACAACCATCTGAGTGTTTTCAAGTGACACATAATCACTCTTGTGCTATACCTGTAACTTACTACAGAAGTAGGTCAGAGCAAATTTAAAAAGCAGTTAATTTGATTTCTGTTTTCATTAGAAGGAAATACTTTCATAACGTTCTAAGAACAAGGATACAGCCAACTTCACTAGTGTAACACTAATTCTGATAGTGAATACAAGATTGCATAGACACAAGTAAGTAAGGTAAATGTACAGATGGAAAATGTAGTGAGGGGATGTGT